AAAAGTTCATGGTTTTGAAAAAGGTACACCAATTTGAGTCTGGTCAAAATCAGGGTGAGTCAGCACCAAAATCGATCAAATTGAGTCGGTCAAATTTGTGTGCACCACTAACATTAAGGAACAAGAGTGAGACCCCTGTCTGTATTTAGCCCTCGATGCTTCTCCGGCTTGCTTCCACGTTAACTGCATGTGCGCACGGACTGTGGCCATGAGCCGGTCAGCTCCGTCGGCACGCACCGTATAAACGTCCGTTTCCTGCCGTCAACTACAAGCATTAAATGGGTCAGCGTACAAGCCTGAAATACTGTGTGCGTCCTGCATCCCACCACGAGTGGACATCTCGCGATTACGTGATTAGGCGAGCTCGTCCACGCCTTTGAATATTCGGTTAGAGCACCCGTTTAGTAAGTGGGAGGTCTTGAGTTCAACTCTCAATGAAAGCAAATACCTTTTTAAAAATCCATGGTTCCCTCTCGTTTGCTTTTCTTCTATATAAAATCATAAGTTTTTTCTTTTGCGTTTTCTACTTGCGTAATTTTTATTTATATGCTTGTCTTTAGACGTCTATTTGCTGGTTATCATGTTTGATAAGAAGGGGAGCCGTGTGGTGCTCTCTCTACTCTTGCCGATATCAAAATGAGGCAATGTTCTGATGTTAGCCACCACTGAAGCGGATGTATCTATATCCACGTAATTTTTATTTATATGCTTGTCTTTAGACGTCTATTTGCTGGTTATCATGTTTGATAAGAAGGGGAGCCGTGTGGTGCTCTCTCTACTCTTGCCGATATCAAAATGAGGCAATGTTCTGATGTTAGCCACCACTGAAGCGGATGTATCTATATCCATTTAAGCGACAACTAAGGGCTCCTTTGATTCAAAGGAATTCAATAGGATTTTTGAGGGATTAAAATTCTTTGGAATTTTTCCTATGTTTGTCCTTTGATTCATATGATTAAATCCCATGGGAATTTTTTCTTTGGAATCTTTTGTACTACATTTCATAGGAAATCTAACATCCATTTCAACCTCTTTTTACAATTCCTTTACTTTTTATGTGTAATCAAACACTATTTGCTAATCCTACAGGATTCAAGTGGACATGACACACCAATCCTATGTTTTTCCTATTCCTACGTTCTCAAAATCCTGCGAATCAAAGAGACCCTAATATGGAACGGATGGAGGCAATGTTCTGATGTACTCTCTGGATTTCATATTAGCCACCACTGAAGCGGATGTATCTATATCGATTTAAGCGATAACTAATATGGAATGGATGGAGTAAAAGTTATTCATATGTGCTTGTACCTCTCTGCTTCCTACGTTCTCCTATTTGTTTGCACCCTGTCTGTCTCCAGTCAAAACATGATTCGGATTTTTATCAGTTGTGAACTGGAAGGAACCTGTCCAGTTGACTGCCGCCACGATGACTGTCTCCTCTGTTTGCTTTCTGCCTCTCTCGATGAAAATGGAGGGTTTTTTTTTTTAGAACATAGACGTCAGAGACGTCCGGCTTTAAATTAATAAAGCCCACAAAACTTAGGCAGAGTAGCACAACCACCGAACAAAACAACATAAACTAACACGACAGTTAAGAGGATAGGCCGCTAAATGAGCGCAAAGTTGCGTTACAAGGCGGAGAACGGCCCAAAAGCAGCGAGCACGCGGGCTCGGAAGGTACTAAGACCAAAAGGGGTTGCCCATCCCTATGCGGCAACCAGTTGAGCAGGCGACGGAGCTCGAGCCTCGGAGTAGACGGCGTGGAGACGACAGATAGCTTGGCGGTGGAGATCAGAGTCCTGTTGTCTTCCCAGCGATGCCCATTGCTGCAAGAAAACGATGCATTTGAAGATAACGTCAGCGGGATGCGAGGGGAACACCCCCTCAATAGTAAACTTGTTACGGGTATTCCAAATAGCCCATAGCATAGCCGCCGCACAAGTCCACATGACCCTACGAGATGCGCCTTGAAACCCAGATAAGGAAGACACGAGCTCAGGTCGGGAGCGTGGATCCCAATCCACTCCCGCGGCCTCCCGGACCGCGCTCCAAGCGAAACGAGCCAGGGAGCAAAGGAAGAAGGTGTGGTCAGCATCTTCCGGGACCCCACACAGCGCACAGGGGCCAGAGGCGGGGCCGTTGCGTTTAGCGAGGTTAATAGAGGTAGGAAGGCGATCTTGACAAAGTTGCCAAAGGAAGACCTTAATTTTGAGCGGGATCTTTGCCTTCCAAAGCCCTGTGGCCGCTGACGGGATCTGACCGTGGCATAGCTCTCTGTACATGGATTTGACAGAGAATTTGCCGGAGCTCGCAAGTCTCCACGAGATCAGGTCCGCGGATTCCGACAATCGGACGTCCACAAGTAGCGCCAGAAGGCGGTCCCAATCTGCCAACTCCGGCCCGATTAGCTCACGTCTGAAGTTAATACAGGGGGGGAGGTGCTAAGAGCCGAGGCAACCCGTTGCTCGGGTTCGACCGCTAAGGAGTATAGTTGTCGAAACTCCGCCCATAATGGGCGCTGGCCAATCCAATGATCAAGCCAGAGACGCGTAGAGCGTCCGTTGTTAACCGCAAACTTTGCGCCCCTGGCAAAGAGGGGTTTAAGGGATTGAATGGAATTCCAGAAAGGAGACCCACTGGGAGCCGCGTCAAAAAAATCCCCTCGCGGGAAATATTTTGCCCGGAGGAGGTCGATCCAGAGGCCAGTCTCACCCTGAGTCATTTTCCAGATCCACTTGCACATTAGTGCGATGTTCATCAACTTGGAGTTGATGATCCCAAGACCCCCCTGGGTTTTGGGACGACACACGGCTTGCCATTTAACCATATGGTATTTTCGTTTCGGTCCCGCTCCTTCCCAAAAGAAATGGGACCGCGGTGTGTCAAACTTAGAGTGTACCCCGTCCGCCAGCAAGAACAGACCGATGGCAAACATGGGCAAAGATGAGAGGCTGGTGTTGGTAAGGATTAGTCTTGCCCCTGAAGACATAAAACGGCCCCTCCACGGGCAAACCCTATTCGCCACCTTGGAGGAGAGGGGCTCCCAGTCAGCGATTGTACACTTCTTTGCCGCTATTGGGAGCCCGAGGTAAGTAAACGGGAACTGGCCTAGTTTGCAGTTAAGCAGGTTGGCGACCCGTTGACTTTCTGTCGCGTCCATCCCTATGGACACCACCTCACTTTTGTGGAAGTTAATTTTTAGTCCCGACATGAGTTCGAAGCACAACAGTATAGCTTTGACCGAAGCGATACTATGTGTGTCAGGCTCGAAAAGAAGAAGAGTGTCATCCGCGTATTGCAAGTGGGACACTCCTCCCGGGATTAGGTTGTCCACGACACCCCTAATGTGGCCGGCTAGACGAGCCCTGTCTAGCATGGCGCCTAAAGCGTCCGCCACGAAGTTAAAAAGCAACGGCGACGCTGGGTCCCCTTGACGCAGCCCGCGCTTGTTGCGGAAGAAGTTCCCTACTTCTCCGTTCACCGCGATCGCCGTTTGGCCTCCCGAGACCAACTGCATCATGCGGTGAACCCAAACCGACGAGAAACCTCGGTCCAGGAGTACCTGTCGGAGGAACTCCCAGTTCACGCGGTCGTACGCCTTCTCAAAATCGAGTTTGAGGAGAATCGCTGGCTGTCGAGCGCGCTTAAGGGAGTGGATAATTTCTTGAAGAACCAGTGGCCCCTCCAAGATGTTACGGCCCCGAATGAACGCGGACTGGGTTCTACTAATAATGCGGTGGACTATCGGTGACATGCGAGTAGAACAAGCCTTAGCACAAATTTTAAACGGGACGTTAATTAAGGCAATAGGACGAAAAAGTCTAATGTGATCCGCACCCGGGACCTTGGGGATCAAAGAGAGAACCCCAAAGTTCAGGCGGGAAATGTCTACCGTACCGCGCATAAAACCGTTGCACACGTCAAAAATGGGGTTTTTGAGCACTTGCCAAAACCGCTTGAACATCGCCACCGGCCACCCATCCGGCCCCGGAGCAGTGTCAGATTTCATACCCAGCGTCGCCTTGTCAATCTCCTCAGGGAGGAAGGCTAAGCTCAGGTTCTCGTTTTCCTCGTCCGTGACCCGCAACGCAGGGTCCCACATATCCTCCCTCAGGCGAGCCCTGGATTCCTCCCTGGAACCCATGAGTTGGATGTAGAACTCGTAGATGTGCCGGACGATATCCTGTTGCCGCAGTATGAGCCCCTGCTCCGATTGAAGACGAAGGATAGCGCACTTACGACGTCGGCCATTTGCGTATGCGTGGAAGTATTTTGTGTTCGCGTCGCCCTTGAGCGTCCACTTTATTCCACCGCGCCTACGCCAGTACTCTTCCTCGGCCCTGAGGAGGGATTCGACTTGGGCCTCAAGCGCGTAGCGCTGGGCCCAGTCCTGCGCGGAAAAGATGTGCAGATCTGCCGCTGCGTCTAGCTGGGCTAGCTCCTCGGTCAGGCGCACCCTTAACAGCTTATCCGCACAACCCTAATTAGCTCCCCACCCTTTGAGAGCCGCTCGCATACCCGCCCCTGCGGCAATCCAGAACTCCATGGGGCCGCGTACGCGCCCGATGCAAGCAACGCAATTCGCCCACTTCAAAAGGAAGGTTTGCTCGAAGTCCGGAGACTCCAGCCATGCTGTTTCGAAGAAGAAACGCGGGCTGCGTTTAAGCCTTTCCTCCCCCGAGGAAAGGATGAGGGGGACTCCAGCCATGCTGAAAATGGAGGTTGTAAAAATAGTTCTTGGTGGTCATTATTATCAACTGGGAAATAGCCATCGATTGTTGCAAGTTCAACTAGGATGAGATGTCTCACAGTGCCCTATGTTTTCCACTTCAAATCTGGCCATTCTTCTTCTTTGCTTGCTTGCTTGCCAGTGTTACCACAAACTGTGCAGCAGCAGATCATCAATTCCTAACAGCCATTACAAGTTTCTAGCATGCCACCTAGCTTATGGTCTAAACTTCTAGTTACACAGATAGTTACCAGAAACAACTTTGCTGCTATTGCTCTTGCTCTTCCTCGCCCTCACCATCTCCCTCACCCTCTTCTTCACCCTCTTCCTCTTCCTCGCCCTCTTCTGCCGCCCACCAAGCAAGAAGGCCAAGACCATCTCCTTTAATACTTCCCTGTAAAAGGGTTTATTTACCCCAATTAATCAGCTGTGCAGCCATCGGCAGATGCATTCAAGTTTGCTGTGCTGCCAGTGCAGTGCATGTTGTATCTCTATATGACAATACACACACAAGGAAGAAGGCATACATTGATCTGCATTGGAGCAAATGGCTTGTCATCCTCCTTTTGCTCAACTGGTATAGGTGGGTATTTTATGCTAGACGCCAAGAATCGTATCTGCATAGAGATTGCAATGATCGTAAGCCTTTTTGTGGTTAGTGACTATATGAAATAGTAATTGCTTGGGATTAACCTCATCATCAATGTCAAGATGAAGTTCATCACCATCTTCAGTCTTCAATGCCCACCTACCATCTTCCCCCCTGGATACATATGAACAAAGAAATGAGACACAATATAACCTGGAGATAAAATGGTAAATAAACCACATCTCAATTTGCAAAATAATGCTAGAGGCCTGTGTACGGCAAAAGAAAATCCAAACAGATCAATGTGTTACCTCACTGTGCCAAACTGCATCAAATGTCCCGGGATGCATATATCGGTGAAAAAATCAAGTGAAACTGAACAAGGAAAACAGTATACCAGTTAAAACCCATCATTTTCAGGTACAGCTTCTCAAATGTCACAGAATTACATAGTAATAACATTTTTATAGTTCCCAGAACAGGATGGGAGCATGGATCATTCAAACCTTGTGGGCATACAAAGTACCAATACTCCAACATAGTTGAAAAGAGGAAGAAACATGTCAGCAGGAGTCAATTAAATATACATGCTTACAAGAAAATGAAATCCGGGAGTCTACAATGAAATACTAATCTTAGTTTATCTTTCTAAGAAAATTGCGAAAAATTCCCCTACAGAATGTTGTATACTTTGAGCGTTTTCTAAGAATTTTCCAATTTTACTGATTTAAAGAAATTCGAAATTCTGTAGATAAAGTAGAAGAACTAGTGGGGCCAAGTGTCATAGAGAGAGGAGAGAAAAGATAAGGTTGTCAGGCAACCATGGAGATCTGGTAAAGGGGGATCAATCCAATCCCCACTCCAGGCTCGGTGCGAGCCATGCGGTGGCCGCTGTGCAGCGGTGGCATACTCCATCTAAGTCAGCCACCTTCTCTCCTTGAGGAACACAGAATTGGAGAGGGCTCCTCATCAAGTTCCTTCCAGTTCAACTCAGTGTGCAGCAACAAGTTGGTGTCCGATCTGATGCTCGCATGCTTGGCCTGTACGCGAGTGTTGGCTTTGAGCAGCGACCTCCCACTCCTCAATTCCTCAATTCGGTGTGCCCTGGTTCGTGGAGCAGCATTGTATCTCCAAGGGCTCACCAACAACTCTGCAGTACAACGGCGTAAAGATTTTCTGGGACAGTGTCAACCTGACGTGCCTTGCCTCATCGACACAACAGCTTCGAGTGCTGTTGACGGAAGTGATTGTTCTTGTTTATTCCACTTGCTATCTCAATGAGTTAACTAGTTTGTTGAGTTTGACCTGCAACTAGAATTTATTTGAGAGCAAGTGGATAACTGCAACTGCTATTACTATATAGAACAAAACTCCAGAACCTGGTGTGTGCCTCTGTTCTTCTTCCTTAATACTATCTGCACTTGACTTGCTTAGTAGTGTTCATCTTATCACTGCTATTTATCCTTTGTAAGTTAACAACAATCTACTTGTTGGTAGAAATTTTAAAGGCATTAGAACTGAATTTATCTCTGATTAGTGAAATCTGCAAGATGACAGTGAACACAGGTTTGGTTGATCAAGTAATTCATGTATATAATTTTGGTAGTTGCTCTGAATTTTTTAGCAGTAGCACCCGTATTTAATTTTGTGAACATATTACCATTGCTTTTGAACACACACATATATATATGCTTCTGTTACACTCATACTATGTTGGAACTAGGATTTAATATTCTGAATAATTTGCTGAAACTGCACATATTTCAACAAAAAATAGGCATGAATTCAGAAAGGGGTTACAGCAGGTTGTAAACCAATTAGCAATCAAAAGGCCAATGAGAAAATAACTAAGTCACCTTGTAAACCCTTCTCATCATATCCGCTGATCTTCCCAACAAGAACCTCCCCAATAAAGGGCCTGAACATCAATAACCTAAAGGAAACCTGTCCAGGATGGGGAAAATGAATGGAACATAAACATGAACTGCAAACTGTGTGAAGCCTCGAATTACGAGGTCACAAAATTTGTAGTAACAGCAATGCCAGAAGAGAGTGCATCCATGGTGTAAGTTTGGCATGCTATCTATAATGAGTCATTCACAACGAGTAGCACACTACCTAGGAAAAGACAAGACTACGCGCTTGAGGCAGAGAAATAATCAGCATTAACTTACAGCAAGGCAAACTGGAATAGTCGGTTAAATAAGTACAGGTTGGGGGAACTACTCCCATATTCAAAACTGTAGGGTTTTCTTTTTGAACAAGAGCTGTAGTTTTTTTTAAACTGCTATTAAACAGTTTAATGTAGAGGGCAGGCCTGGCGCAGTGGTGAAGTCCTCCCCACTTGTGCCAAGAGGTCCTGGGTTCGAACCAGCCTCTCTGCATTGCACTTTGCAGGGGTAAGACTAGGTTCCTATAATCCCTCCCCAGACCCCACCTTGTGTGGGAGCTTCTATGAACTGGGTCTGTCCTTCTTTTATTAAACAGTTTAATGTCAAGAGACAAACTATCTTAGTGATAAACATATCATATTAATCCCAAAAGTTCCATTTCTATGTAAGCACAACAATCAAATGCTAAGCACTACTAAAAAGGCTCCGGGGTAACTACATGAACACCAGTGATAAACTGCACAGGAAAGAACTTAAAACATACTGGAGTTTTAGGTATTCAGCTCAATTGCACAAACAACAATGACCTTGTACTAAGTTTACAGAGCATACACTAAACAACATACAACATCTCACATCCCTTAACAGATAATGGATGGCAAAATGATAGCACAAATTACTTTATACGTCGAGCAGCCCTCTCCTGGAAAGATGAATCCACCTTCAACGGCAAGGATGTCATAGACAGACACGCAGAGCCCGAGATTTACAACCACCTGCAGTACAAGTCCAAACACAGATTGCGAAATACAATTAAGTGGAACAGAATTCCAGTACTGTAAACAAAATCTTGGCATGCACTGGTGATAATGTGACCAAGTTCACACTACCTTATCCAGGAAGAGCCTCTCGAGTTCGGCCTTGATGGCGTCGACGAGAGGGCGATTCAGCAAGTGCGGAGGCATCGGCAGGTTGTGCTCGATCTGGCTCAGAACAAACATCCTTCACGTACAGTACCGGAGCCAGGAAAATATTAAAGCCTGGACAAGCTGCGAGAATAAATCTCTAACCATGAGCTACCAAACAAACCACCAATGCATAATTTAAAATTGAGAGCCGCAACCGTTGCATATTTGAAACAGATATAAGCTACAACATTAAGAGTCGCATATCCACAATACTTTCAAAGTAAAACAGGGAAACACCAAGTAAATGTTCACAAAAGATAAACCGAATTGAGTGAACCGATGAGTACATCAAATAATTGCCTACTTTGACTGAAATTTCAGCACCAGAACTGATATAAACAAACTAATGGGATAAATGATGATTGTTCCAAAAGTTGACATATTTCCCTAAGTTGGTATGCGTTCTTTTCTTAAAATGTTTGTCCACTTCTTTAATGATTGAAGTTCTTTTCAATGAAATTCAATCACTTAAACTCTTAGTTTATTTATAATTAATCTGGTTAGAAGGAAACAATTTGAGGAAGGTGCAGGTGGTACCTCATACTCAAATACCCTACACCCTATACACAACTATACCTAGTCCTCTACCATACACACTCTCTAGTCTCTACTCTTTACCGACTCTACTAGGAGACAATCCTGGATGGGCCGAAGTTTATAAACCAGTCATTTTCCTAGTTGGTTACCTGTATGGACTGAAAGTTTCCGGTGCAGTTCATCTTACCAGAGTCGTTGCCGCTTCCACTCGCTCCGACACGCGTCCCCCACGTGTCGCGTCGTAGGAACGGCAACTTCCCAGCCAATGCACGCCTGACCTCCACCTCCCTCCTCTACTCTACTGTCGCCGCCGAAACTCCTCCCCCTCACCTGCTTATGGCAGTGGCTGAAGTCCAACAAAAGAATGGGGACACGCCACTTGGAGGCAGCGAGAAAGTAAGAGCATCTCCAGCAGGAGGCCCTAAAGGCCTAGTAGGGCAGGGCTACCCCAACTTTTTGAACCCAAAAAAAGCCCCTAACTCCAGCAATTGCCCATATTTCTCAGCCCCTACTTTTTTATCTCTATATATTCAGAAATCCCATCGTATATGCAGAAAAATTGCATCGCGTATGCACATCATCAATTTGAACATACATGCCCCAAATTCCATAATGTATGCATAAAAATTCCATCACATATTCACCAACAGATGTATAATCAAATTCACATGCGCAAAAATTCAACCATATATGCATATACAGTATACACAGGAAAATTGCATCATATAGTCAATCCACCATGAACTTGAAAAAGAAACGGGAGAAACCTTACCTCGGGAGGGTTCTGCAACTGACTGCGGAGGCGACAGGGGAGAGATGGCGGACGGGGGAGGCGTGGCGGGGAGAGATGGGGTTCGGGAGGCGGGCTGCGAACCGCGGAGGAGTGACGGCTGGTGGGGGTGGTGCGGCGGCGGGCGGCTGTGCGAGGCGGTAGGGATAGGCGCGCCGACAGAGGGAGAGATGGGGACCGGCAGGAGGGAGGATGGCGTCGGCGAGCTCCGGCGGCGGAGGTGGACGGTGGCGCGGTCGCCGCCGCCTGGGGAAAGAGTGCGGGGTGGAAGCGCGGGAGCTCGGGTGAGCGAGCGCGGGCGCTGAAAGAAGAAACGGCTGTAATATTGGCTTCGCAGCGAGGGGGGTTGATCCTTTAAATTAAAAGTTTAATACCATTTGACCCTACCTTTAAAAAATTCATGATCGGACCTTTTTACTACTCCCTCTGTTTCTAGATATAAGTCTTTGTAGAGATTCCACTATGGACCACATACAGAGTAAAATGAGTGAATCTATACTCTAGAATGCATCCAGATACATCCAGATGTGATCCATAGTGAAATCTCTTCAAAGACTTATATTTAAGAGTGGAGGGAGTACCATACAAGAGAACAATAAGATAAGAGCATCTACAGCCGCTAGAGCCCCAAGAACACCACCAAACAAAAAAACAGGTGTCTTGGGGGATCCAATGCTTCATCCGGCCAAAATATGGAAAGTAAAAGTTATGGTAAAAAAAGAATAAATTTTCTTTTTAGAACCGTCTATGATGTATCTAGCATGGAAAGTGTTGGGATGCTCCAGGTTATTTTCATTGGTAGGAAAAGTATGCCTCTCAAAAATAATTTTACCTCTCGATTTAAGCTTTGAGCTCTGGCACCTCTACAAATCACTACTTCCCTCCACGAAGGTCCTTTCTTTTACTTATGCAATTTTATTTTGAATTTGAGTCTCCATCTTCTCTTATAAAGCATCAACTAGGGGGCACTATGATCGTACTGGAGCATTGAGTGTAGCTAATATTTGAGTGTGTTTCATGAATGAATCAACGGTTGAGCATGATGGGTTAGGGATAACTTGATTTAGTGTTGATATTTTAAAAGACATGATTGCTTGTTTGTATGCTTAAGTATTAAAGTCTTCGTGTTAAAACTAGACTATTGCTTTGAATCATATAAAAGTCCATATGTCCATGCTATAAAGAAAAGATTGTGATGAACATGTTAGGCATCATTCCATATCAAAAAATCTGTTTTTATCATTTATTTACTCGAGGATGAGCAGGAATTAAGCTTGGGGATGTTGATATGTCTCCAACGTATCTATAACTTTTTATTGTTCCATGCTATTATATTATCATTCTTGGATGTTGTACAATCATTTTATAGTCATTTTATATCATTTTTTGGTACTAACCTATTGACATAGTGCCAAGTGCCAGTTGTTGTTTTCTGCATATTTTTTACATCGCAGGAAATCAATATCAGACGGAGTCCAAATACCACGTAACTCTACGATGATTTTTTATGGACCAAAAGGAAGAAGTTGGGCCCTGGTTGCACCTGGGGGGAGTCCCAAGGAGGGGACAACCCACCAGGGCGCGCCAGGAGGCCCAGGCATGCCCTGGTGGGTTGTGCCCACCTCGGGTGCCCCCCGGACCGCCTCTTTGCTCTATAAGTACCCCAATATTCCAGAACCCCTAGGGGAGTCTACGAAATATTCATCCAGCCGCCGCAGAGTTCAGAACCACCAGATCCAATCTAGACACCATCACGGAGGGGTTCACAACTTTCATTGGTGCCTCTCCTATGATGCGTGAGCAGTTTTTTATAGACCTTCGGGTCCGTAGTTAGTAGCTAGATGGCTCCCTCTCTCTCTCTTGATTATCAATGTAATGGTCTCTTGGAGATCCATATGATGTAAGTCTTTTGGTGGTGTGTTTGTTGGGATCCGATGAACTTTGAATTTATGATCAGATCTATGTTTTTACCCATTAAAGTTATTTGAGTCTTCTTTGATTTCTTATATGCATGATTGCTTATAGACTCATATTTCTTCTCCGATATTTGAGTTTTGTTTGGCTAACTTGATCTATTTATCTTGCAATGGGAAGAGGTGCTCTGTAGTGGGTTTAATCTTACGGTGCTTGATCCCAGTGACAGAAAGGGAACCGACGCATATGTATCGTTGCTACTAAGGATAACAAGATGAGATCTATATTTGCCGCAATAGATAAACGAATCTCGTCTACATCATGTTATCGTTCTTATTGCATTACTCCATTTACTCATGAACTTAATACACTAGATGCATGTTGGATAGCGGTCGATGTGTGAAGTAATAGTAGTAGATGCAGGCATAAGTCGGTCTACTAATCTTGGACGTGTATAATGATCATTTCTTGGATATCGTCATGATTATTTGAAGTTCTATGAATTTCCCAACAGTAATTGTTTTCCCACCATTTGCTATTTTTCTTGAGAGAAGCCACTAGTGAAACCTACGGTCCCGGGTCCCTTTTCATCATATTTGCCTTTGCGGTCTATTTTCTCTTGCATTTATTTTCAGATCTATTAAACCAAAAATACAAAAATACCTTGCTGCAATTTATTTGTTCCACGATCTATTTATCCTATCTACAAATTTACCTCATGTCCTTTGCCTATCTTGAGGCGCCGTACCCCGAAAGGGATTGACAACCCCTTTAACACATCGGGTTGTGAGGTGTTGTTCTTTGTGTGCAGGGGCTATTTACGTTGTGTTGCTTGGTTCTCCTACTGGTTCGATAACCTTGGATTCATATCTGAGGGAAATACCTATCGCTGTTGTGATGCATCATCCCTTCCTCTTTGGGGAAATACCGATGTAGCTTCAAGCGACATCACACAACTAAACGGTGTGTATAATAATAATAGTTCACATGCATTGGACTAAGCTGGAATCTGCAAACATTTAATTTAAAGGAGAAGACAAGGTAATATGGGCTCTTTGTTAGATCAACAATAATGCATATGAGAGCCACTCGTCATTTTCATCGTGGTCTTCTCCTCTCGACCCCCAAAGAAAAGAAAAGAAATTCAAAAAAAACTATTTACACGGGAAAGCTCCCAGCAAGCAAAAGAATAACGAGAAATCTTTTTGAGTTTTTCTATTAATTACTACTACTACAAGCATGGAAAGTAAAGTAGCTAAAAGCTACAACTATTTTTTTGGTTTTTATCAAAGTTTTTCAAACACACAAGAAGAAAGCAAGAAAAGAAAATAAACTAGCATGGATAGTACAATGAAAAAGTATGAACACCGACAACTAGAATGAGTGTTGAACATGAATGTAATGTCGGTGAGAAATACGTACTCCCCCAAGCTTAGGCTTTTGGCCTAAGTTGGTCTACGCCCATGGATCAAAGCGGTCCTCCTCGGGGTGCCACTGGTTAGCGAGCTCTTCCGAATCCCATTGATAAATAGACTCCCGATATGGATCAAGAGGCGGCTCTGGCTTAGGCTCTGGGACTCGTGTCAGCTCTCAGTATGCATAGATGTCCTCGGGCATGACGAGGTATGTGCCTAAATGTATGTTAAACAAAGAGGGTGCATGCAAGGTAATAGTCTCACAAGAAATTTTACCAAATACCAAGTTATACTTAAGTCTCTTCTTCTTATCTTTAACAATAAAATCATGTGCTACCATACTCTTATAGTCTAAGAAAATAGTGGGCAGCACCTTT